GGTCGACTACGTGGGAGTCCAGCGACATAGCCATTACGCTAACTGCTGGTTCCCCCCAGTGTGTTTTTAAAGCCCTGGCATCCAGGACTTAAACCACGCAGTTGGCCAGGTGAGACCCAGCTGTTCTCGCCGTCATGGCACCACCTGGGCCTGTGTTTCCTTTCGTTGCCTGTGGTTATAGTGTCAGGTGTAAGAAACCTTTGTCACCTCCAAAGTCCTGAAGACGTGCTCCTATGTTTTCTTCTAAAATCCTTTGGGTTTTCTTTTTTAAAATCACTTTACTACCAATTTAGTGTGGCTTTAGGAGAGGGCAGAGCTAAAGTGCGTGTCCCACCCCCTTCCTTTAATCGGAATCCCTTGTAGTCAATGTAAGTCGGTATTGCAGAGGTTTATAAGAGCATCTCTTGGGTTTTGTTTTGTTTTGTTTTGTTTTGTTTTTTGAGAGGTTTTTACTATAGGGCGTGTGCGCTCTCCAGACAGACAGAGAGAAACAGAGAGACAGAAAGCGAGAAATCACCCCCCAGGGGGGATGGTCACGCCGCAGTCCCTTCTCCTCCATTCTCCTCTCGGGATCTTGGGCACGCACGCACACGTGCCCAGCGTGAGTTTTAAGCCACTGGGTCCAGGACGTGAACCGTGGTTGACTACGTGGGAGTCCAGCGACGTAGCCATTATGCTAACTGCTCGTTCCTAGAGCATCTCTTGTTTTAAAATGAAAATATAAACATTAAACAAAACAGCCTTCTCAGGGTTTTACAGAGCTTTCGTTTGTTTGTTTTGTTTATTTTTCAACCTCAGCACCTTTTCTTAACTGCAGAGAATTTCCGTTGCTTGTGCACCCATGAAAAGGGCTTTGGCTTTAAGGGAAGCAGCTTCCACCGTATCATCCCCCAGTTCATGTGCCAGGGCGGCGATTTCACAAACCACAACGGCACCGGGGGCAAATCCATCTATGGGAAGAAGTTTGATGACGAAAACTTCATCCTCAAACACACGGGACCAGGTAAGAGCTGACCAGCATGAGGGGACACGCAAGGCCCGGCTAGGGCAGCATGGCTGTGCAAGCTGGAGGGACAGGCTGTGGTCCTGGGCAGGGGACCGGGGTCTCGGGGTGAGGAGGCCCAGCTTCCGCACAGCCTTGTGTGGCGTAGCAAGCTCGTTTCCACTCCTGCACTGTCTGTCTCCCACTGTGCCCACACTCCCTGTCAGCCCAGCCTACCTTCTGTGTCTGCCATTGTGAGAACTCTCTTACACCCTCAGGCCTCACCTCCATCCCCTCAGACTTCCTAGTCAGTCTAAGCCAGTCCCCCGGCAGCTGGAGAAAAATGGAATTGTACAGAATGGCCCCACTGGAGATTTGTGATCACAGTTCTGAAGGGTCCTGGTTAGATTTCCCTAGTGATGCCCAGGACCCAAATCAGGTGCCATGTCCATGCCAGTCTCACCCCGATGCCTCCGTATCACCCTGCTCCCACCTCATCTGAACGTTGCCGCCTTTGTCTCTCCACACATGCGTGCTCTGACGTCCCTCCCTGCAGGGGATGAGCTGGACCCCCATCCCTCTCCCGTGCTGAGGACCTGGGCTTCTGTGGCTGTCCCCTTTGCCTTGTGTCACCCATCTCCTGTGCTCTGCTGGAGTCGTCCATCAGCACGAAAGCATGCATCTCAGTCTTCAGAACAGCTCACGTCCGGCCTCTGTAGCACAGAGTTAAGTGCCGCGCACTGGGAGCTGGATCCCACGGGGCCAACTGCAGTTGAATCTCGGCCCTCGCAGCTTGAAAAACCTTCCAGACGCACATACATACGTGCCCACAGGCCTGCCAGGAAAGAGAAACGGAGGAAAGCAGGTTGCGGCATGTGCGATGTGGCACGTCCCTTTTAGGGGTGGTTTCTCTCTGTCTCTCTTTCTCTCTCTCTCTGGCAAGCGTGCATGCTCTCCGGCAATAATTTTAAAAATAATAATATTGGGGCCAGCAGATGGCATGTTTATGTCACTGAACTCCCACGTAGTTCACCATGGCTCGGGTCCCAGACCTGGAGGCTTACAACTCCTGCTGGACATGCGTGCGTGCATGCCCAAAATCCTGAGGAGAATGGATGAGAAAGGACTGCAGCATGGCCATCCCCCAGGGGAGTGATTTCTTGCTTTCTGTCTGTCTTGCTCTTTCTGGTGAGCACATACGCCCTATAGCTAAAATCCCTCTTTTGAAAAGAAATCTTTAGACCCTTGTTCCCCCTTCGGCTGTCACTCATGTCTCTGGTTCACTTTTTTTTCTTTTATTGCCAGATGGGACATTGTTCATCAGAGAGCGGGCACCCACCGCCCAGTGGGGCATGGTCACAGCACAGTCTGTTTCCCTCCATTTCCCCATCCTGTCAGAATCGTAGGCACACACCCACACACCCAGTGTGCTTCTCAAGCTGTCAGGGCCAGTGCTCGAACCAAGGGTGGCCGTGTGGGACCCAGCTCCCAACGCACAGCGTTTAACCGCTGCTGCAAGCCTTCTGCCTTACTTGTTAATGAACTTTGAAAAGTGATGTTGACTCGCTGCCCTCGTTCTTTCTTTATGTTTTTTTAAAAGAATTATTTGTTTAATTTTTATTTATTCATTCATGAGAGACACAGAGAGAGAAGGAAGGTAAGAAAGCAAGCCACCAGGTCTGGGACGCGAACCGAGGTTGGCTGTGTGGCAGTGTCCAGCCTCTGAACCACCATGCCACCTATTAGCCCCTGTCCTCTTTCTTTCTAAACCTTTCTGGCCTGACTTCTGGCCCTCCTCGCCCCTGAAGCCACTGTCACCAAAGATGCTAGCAGTGTCGGTCCTGCCACTTCTGGGCTGCCATCTTACTTCCCCCGGCAGCATTTCAGACTGTTAACCCTCTGCTTCTTCGTCCGTCTTCGCTTGGCTGACAGAACTCCTTCTTGGTCTTGTCCATAGAATCCTGCTACTCACTGCACCCTTTTTCTGACTCATAACTTGGGGTGCCTTTTGACTGGACTGTACCAGACTAAAATGTAGAGGTGATATGTCCCGCCTACCCGGGTTGGGTTTGTTTTGTTTTGTTTTCATTTTTTTAGTTCGCTGTGGGGGCATCTGCCCACCAAAAACAGGCAGAGAGACAGAGAGAGAGAGGGGGGTGTCAGCCCCCAGTAGGGATGGCTAATACCACAATCTCTTCTCCATTCTCTTGGGATTTGGGGCACACACGCACACACACCTAGTGTGTTTTTCAAGCTGCCAGGTCCTGGACTCAAGCCACTCAGTCAGTCATGTGGGCTCTAGCTGCCTTAAGTTTTGCACCACCTGTTGGCCCCCCACATAATTATTTTAAAAATCAATAGACCTATAGATAGATAGATAGATAGATATAGATATATAATAGGAAAGACAACCATCGCAAAGTAAGCAAGCGGACCTGTTTCTGGACGAAAGTGTTCCAGCTGAGAAAGACAGTGAATTGCTCAGCTGTGCACACCTGGACTCCGATGTAGCAATTGGAAGTACAGGCAGGTTGGGGCCAGCAGATGACGTGGCAGTTACATCTCTGGACTTCCACATGGCCTACCACAGTTCAAGTCCTGGACCTGTTGGAGTCAAACTCAGGCTGGGCGCACTGTCCAAGATCCCAGGAGGAGAACGGAGGAGAAGAGACTGTGGTGTGGCCAACCCCCTGGGGGTGATTTCTCAATTTCTGTCTCTCTGGTGAGTGCACATGCTCTATAACAAAAATCTCTCAAAAAAAAAAAAAGGGGGGGGGGACCAGCAGTTAGTGTAATGGCTATGTTGCTGGACTCCCATGTAGTCGACCGTGGTTCGCATCCCGAACCCAGTGGCTTAAAACTCATGCCAGTCGCGTGTGAATGCGTGCCCAAGATCCCGAGAGGAGAATGGAGGAGAAGGGATTGCAGCGTGACCATCACCCCAGGGGGTAATTTCTCACTTTCTGTCTCTCTGTCTCTCTCTGTCTGGTGAGCGCATGCGCCCTATAGCAAAAACCTCTTAGAAAAAAAAAGTGCAGGCAGGTGTGCCAGCTGGCAACGTGGATACCACAGGCAGTGTGGCTGGTGGCGTGATTTTGTGAAGTTGTGGCTCCAGTTGTTTAGGTCTAAATTCAGGGATAGTTTTCCGTTGACTGCATGGTAGTTACAGTCCCAGATTACATAAAGAAACGGAACGGTCCCAGCCCAGGTGCTGCACACAGCTGCAGTGCTGGAAGGTACATGGCTCGTCCATGGGTTCAGACCCCCAGCCTGGTTGAACGGCAAGTGCCAGGTGTGCATGAGCATCCCAGTCCTACAGACTAGTGGTCTGGGGGAGGGAGTGCGGCATGACCAGAGCCTGTCGGAGGCCTGTCTCTGTCTCGCTCAGGTGCACGTGCGTGCGCATGCATTCTCTATCATGCATAAGACATTAGCATTTTAAAAACCAACATAAGGGGCCAGCAGATGCATAATGGTTACATCACTGGACTCCCATATGGCCAACTGTGGTTCCAGTCCCGAATCCGGCAGCTTACCACTCACTTCAGGTGCATATGTGTGTGTGCCCAAAATCTCAAGAGGAAAATGGAGGAGAAAGGATTTCTTGCTTTCTGCCTCTCAGACTCTGTCTCTTCAGCGAGCGCACATGTTCTATAGCAAAAATATCTCAAAACAAACAAACAAAAAAACAAAATAAAATGCCTCCAAAACTTTGGGCTTATGTGAATATGTAGACATTTGTGAAAGACCAATCAAAAATACTCAGATTTCCAAAAGGCCCCTAGGGACAGGACCAGCCCTATCGCGCACCACTGCCCCAGGGGATCACGTCCGGTCCTGGGCTGTCAGCACCGGCCCTGAGTTCAGTCGTCCTCAGTGAAGTCTCCGTGCTCTCTGCTCCCTGACTCCCAGAGTCCTATCCAGCTGCCCACCTGCCATCCTCACTGGATATCCCACGGGTCCCCCAGACTTCATGTGTCCAGAACAACCCTCAGCCCTCGCCCCCTTTCCTCTTTCAGTAAATGGCACCACCATCCCCTTGGCCGCTTGGTCAGAGACTAGGAGTCCCTTGTCATGCTTGTCATGCATCATGTCCATCTGTCTTCAAGTGAGCAGCTGGCCCAGCCTCTCTCTCTCTCTCTCTCTCTCTCCCTCTCTCCTTCTCTCCCTCCCTCTCTCTCACACACACACCCTCTTAGACTGCCTCATGCTTTTATTCTCTACACAAATGTCCCGTCACTG